GATGTGAAGAACTTAGATTAACTAATCCAAAAGTTAGCATATTTTTTCTATTAGGGCAAATAAAACTGGCTACTTGTTCTTTTAAAATAGAGGTATGAAAGGAAAGCTGAGATTGTTGTGACTTTAAATACTATTGCTTGCATGTTCTTCAACTGCCTGTGGAATTTAAACCAACCCATTTTTCACTTCAAAAGTTAACTCAGAATCTCTCAGTATACTCAATAAATGCAAATAATTTTTTTCCTCTTGGGGAGACCACACTGTTGTTTGTCTTGATCTTTCAGAACTATAAAATATCTTTTTTTCTTTCCAGGTCATTAAAGATATGCTCAATGTTTTATAAAATGTTCTATTTTTAAAGAAACAAAATATTTTTGTGTGATATTTAGGCAGCAAAGGAAAAGATCGCTTTTCTGGTAATGGAGTAAGAAAAGAGAACTTCTAAATCAGTTAATAGATTATTCTAGTCTACTGTAACTAAAGACCCACAGTAGCTTCCACCAGCAGCCATAATAACACTTGTAATGGCAGAAGCTACTCATGGCTTTATTCTCGTAGCCGGGAATATTATTATTAGCAGTCCCTCTTACTTAGAATTTTTAAAGCTCTGTGGAACACGTATTTTGAAACCATAGGTTCCTATGCTATAGAAGATAACTTCCTGATTTCATTACCTGTTAAAATAAATTTGCACCATAATTTTGCATTAAAGCTATTGTGAAAGAAATTATATTTTCCAGGTGGGAAAAAATTAACATCCTCCTGCTTTCTGAGCACTCTTTAAAGAGTCTGTAAAAGGAAAAAATGTAGTTGATGGGAAATACAGAAACAGAAAGAAAATATTTATTAAAAATAAGCTCTTAATAAGAGTTATAAAGAAAACAATATATGATTCAGAGGCAAGGCAAAACAAAAATCAATAGCTTTTTTCAAATGCAGAAAATTTATAATTGAGAAGAAAGTACTTCCAGAAACTGAGAGATCCTTTTAATTAGACTAGAAATACAGGAGCTTCAATTTAAAATGTCTTCCTGAGGCACCAGTTGGTAGAATAAGCATTTTCCCCTTTTCAGCAATACTTTTTGATACAGGTCATAAAATCTCTATGATGCACAGAAGTCATTCCACAAAGGCAGTGAGCAAAGAGTTTTACATCCAGCTAAAAATTAGCCATTAGAGGGAAAAATTATTACCTTGTAGTCATGTTATTGTAATAAGGTTTATTCCTAGTGCCAGTATTTAAATTGCCCTAGCATTTAGGGGGAAAGGAATACATAAATGATGTCTCAAGAATGTAGTAATTTGGGAAAGCATGAATGAGTAGACTCAAATGTTTTTATGAATTTTATATAGATAGTAGAATACTTAGTATTAGAGATGTTGACCACATTGCTAATTGAACATGATAAATATTACAAGCAGTGTACTGTACATATTTTTGCCCAAGACCTCAGACCTATTTTATTAAGTCTGAGACTGTGGACAAGCAAGAAGCAATTATGATCTTTGCTTGAATGTTTTCACTCAAAGGATGATCAATTTCCTTTTCTTTCACAACTAAAGATTTTTTCCAAGCTTAATTCTGTGAACTTTCGAAAGAAGAAAACTTGAATCCTGAAAGTAATGTAATTGATCGTCCTTTGGGTGAAAACACTGAAGCCAAGAAAGGTGTATGGACCAAAGGAACTAGCATTTAAGTAAAGTCCCTATATGTACACATACTATTAGCTCCTGTGAATCCAAGCAAGTCTAAGATCATGCTTCATGGGAAGAATGATGGATTCCTTAGAAAATACACAGTCCCATTCTGGTTTACTAAAGATGTATTATTTATTTTTGTCACGATTTTTAGATGTGTAACTTTGGCATTTAGGAAAAACATTAGATACTGGTCACTCCCAACTTTGGCATCTTAAGAATTAAGAGGATTTAGAAGTTAAAAAGACAGTGTCTTAATTGAGAACAAGTGTGCTGAAAGAATTAAAAGTGCACACAAAAAGCTCTAAGGCAGGCAGTCAATATATTAACCAAGAACAATGTACCTTATTTTAACAACAAAACAATTTCTTTTAAATACCAAGTCAAACATATTAAAATAAGCTTGTGGTCACTTAAGGCATATAGGCACAAAATAATGTTTCCAGATATTCCTGAACTTTATCTCTCAGCATGCTAGTTAGGTTTCCTGGGAATTACAGTTCCCAGAAATATTTTAAGGGGACATACTATGTTCCATTAACATGTAGTGAACATGAATTTTGTATTTGTCTCTGTATGAGGAAAAGAAAAGAGAATTCATGGGTGTTGGTGGAAACAAGAGAATAGTAGGTTCAGAGACTGATCATTCGAGAGGTATTGGCAAAATCTGATTGCTTTTGCCCCTGATTTAATCATGGACCTAAATATTAACTTCCCGACCAAATTATCCTGGTCACCTCTTCAAGTATTTGGTCTGAAACAGGGGTGAAATCTACTTAACTTTCCAACCGGTTCAGAAGTGCACGCGTCATGTGAGCACATGGAACCTCTGTGCATGCACAGAGGGTAAAAAACAGGTTGATGACCAGATGGGTGGGCAGAGCCTCACGCCATCGCTACCAGTTCTCTGAATCACCGGGCGCCATTGCTACCGGTTCAGCCGAACTGGTCTGAACCGGGAGCATTTCACCCCTGGTCTGAAACATAAACGTTGTTTTTTGTGCAAAATTTAGGAAAATATATGAGATTAGGGCTGGAGAGCAAAAGTGCACTGAAGAGAGGTGATTGCCCTTTGACATTTACAAGGTCTGCTGTAGGTACTAGATCAAGATGAAAGTCTTTTGAAGTGCTTTTATTAAATGGTAATGAAGATTCTCTTTTCAGACTACTGTATCAAATTACTATTGGAATAACTGGCGATTTAATACTTTCTTGAAAGAGAAAAATGTTACTAAATATATTAACAAAACTTCAGACACATTAAAATGTATTGGGATTCTTTTCAGAAAGTTGAAATTTGTCTTTTATTCAATTGTTAGTACGAGATATGAAAAAGCATAATCTAATTTGTTGTTGTTGTTAGTTGCGAAGTCGCGTCCAACCGATTGCAACCCCATGGACAATGTTCCTCCAGGCTTTCCTGTCCTCTACCATCTCCCAGAGTCCATTTAAGGTTACTCCGACTGCTTCAGTGACTCCATCCAGCCACCTCATTCTCTGTCGTCCCATTCTTCTTTATCCCTCAATCATTCCCAGCACTAGGGTCTTCTCCAGTGAGTCCTTCCTTCTCATCAGGTGGCCAAAGTATTTGAGTTTCATCTTCAGGATGCTTTCACAGCCATACTTTGCAACTGGGAAAACCATAGCCTTGACTATACACACTTTTGTTGGCAGGGTGATATCTCTGCTTTTTAGTATGCTGTCTAGATTTACCATAGCTTTTCTCCCCAGGAACATTTAATATCTTGCCTGTAGTCTCCATGTGCAGTGATCTTGGAGCCCAGGAAAATAAAATCTGTCACTATCTCCATTTCTTCCCCATCTATTTGCCAGGAATTGAGAGGGTCAGAAGCCATGATCTTAGTTTTCTTAATGTTGAGTTTCAAGCCAACTTTTTCACTCTCCTCATTCACCCGCATCAAGATACTCTTTAGTTCCTCTTCACTTTCTGCCATTAGAGTAGTATCATCTGCATATCTGTGGTTGTTGATACCTTAATTCCGGAAACCTTAATTCCAACTTGTGATTCATCTAGCCCTGCCTTTCTCATGATGTGCTCTGCACATAAGTTAAATAGGCAGGGCGACAGTATACAGTTTAATTTCTCTTCACTTTCTACAATTTGTTTTACGCCATAATCTATAGCTAAGGAGAATAGAAATGGTACGTGTAAGTTATCAACTGCAAAAATTCAGTTAAAGGGTTCCCAACTGATGGCTGCCTAGATACTGCTTGAACTCATTCAAAGGTTGTTTGGAATCTTATTCAGTTATAATAGTTCCATTGCTGAAAATCTTCCTACTATTATGATAATTGTCTTTGCTTTCAAGTGAAATCAGCCTTTCTGTAATTGAAATATACTATTCCATGTCTTACCGTTGTGAGGTCTTGAATATATTGACTTCCTTTTGTGTGACACTCCTTCAGGTGCTAGAAAACTGCTGTCATATCTACCTACATTTTCTCTCTGTCTCTCCAAGTTAAACATAGCCAGCTGTCTTCATATAGGAGGTAGTTTCTAGGACCTTCAGTGGAACATATTGCTCATCTATCTATGAAAAACAAATTTGCTAGTGTAAGTTGATTTTTCCATGAAGGAGGCTGACTAATCTTACATTCTGTTCAGGGACCGCTTTCATTATGAGCACTCTGTTGGTTTCAGCCTAGCAAGATGAAATTGAAGATGGAGAGATATTTGCAAGGTTATCTGCAGGGTATAGTAAAAATATCAAGATAGCAGCTGTGACAGTGTGATTGAAGCATAGTCTGTTTTTTATGTATGCCATGCATGACTCATATAAAAATCAGGCAAAGCCTTGATTAAACCATCATGGGTGCCATTTTGACTGTTTTCACTATACTCTGAAGAAAACCCTGTAAATCTATGTCTCTCTGTTGCCTCCCTTATTCTGCTTTTGACTTTTTTTCACAGTTGGTTACAAAAAGATGGAACAGATGTAGATTAAATGTCTAATTTGATTCCTCTTGAAGTTAGGGCTTGCACAAGGTTGGTGGACATTAGGGAGTTTATGAACTTTCAGTTCCTTTATTTCTCCCATCTCATTTCTGTCCTTGTGTCCAATAGGCCAATCTGAAGAGTTTTCCAGCTACATAAAAAACAGCAACACCCACAGAGGTTAGGGAGGAACAAACACTGGCTGTGACATCATAAAAGAAATCTGAAAATCATATGGCTCCTAGCAGGCTGTCTCTGACACCCTAAAATTGCATCCTAAGACATCAATGGAATGCGTTTAAAATTAATTACGTTCCATGAGCTAATAAACTTATAAAACCTCCAGTAATGTTTTATTAGTGTTTATTATTTATTACAGAAATTATTGTACTTACAAATCATCACACTATTACAGTTCTTCAGAGTCTCTTTCTTCAATACAGCTATGACAATGGTTTTTGATTATTTTAAAACTTAGATTCCAAAACACAACAAAGAAACAATACATAGTGCCCTTGTTCAGACCATGTCAGTATTTGAATAGGGTAGATGACAAAGTTTCAGTATATAAAGTATCAGTAACAGCATCAACAATATTTACAGGCCCAAATAAATTTCTGTGAAAAATTATTAAACAAAAGAAAGAAAACCAGGGATACCTGTAGCCTGGCTGCAGGGCTAATACAGTTAAGGGCTCTTAGTCCAAACAAGGCCTATGAGGACATGAGGAAAACTGAATGCAGAAAAATGCTTTTGCTATCAAAATAGCAGGCTGTTGAAATGAACTACTGATGTAAAGTTTTCTTCATAAAGTCCTCTTGATCAGTAATATAGCATTTTTTCTAGGATATTAATTGGCAATTCAAGATGGCAATTCAAAACACTTTTTTTTCTCACAATGATTCATAGACATATCTGTGTCACAGATTACTGCAATCTTCCCTTTTCTAATTCTGCAGCCTTCTATTGCACATTTCTCAATGTCACCAGTCTTTTTCTGCCTGGCTGACTTTATATCTCCACTTTCAAGTGTTGATAATAATAATAAAAAAAAATGGTTGTGAGTGGTTGCGGCCCTCCTTGTGCAAAATGCTATTTTAAAGTAAGAGATGGTCTTTAGGAAATCGAAATTCAAATCAAAATGTGGCATAATTAAAATCAACACAACGATATAGACAAAGGTTACATGAACTTTGTACAAATATTGACAGCAAAAGCATGTAATATTGAGCAGTGCCTATATCCAGGGGATTATATCAAAAGCAAAGATTCCAGCATTGGTGTGGGTATGAAACAGCAAACATTTTACTTGGCCACAGACACAAAATGTGACTACATTTCTCTCCAGGTGTCACAGCAGTTACCGGTAAATAAAAAGAATTATTTTGTTGATTAGGATTGGAAATGGTTTTCTGGAAAATGTATACCTTTTTAGTTGGATTTGACACACATGACAGCACTTTAAGTAAATGAGAGCCATACAATCAATATGTGGTAGTCTATTAATTTAATATACTCCTGAACTCAAGGCAAGTTTTGCACAATAGCCTCCATTGCAAAGCTTCCTGAAGGCATAAATTCTGTTGTTCCTATATATGCTTAGCATATTGTTGGACTTCTTTCCTCTGCCAGAGTTACTGTACATATAGCTGAACTATTCAGCCCAAATCAACAATTCACTATGACTGCTTGGCTCCAGGATCATCCTAAAATTTTTCTGAACTTTTTGAATCAGCAGATGGAAGAAGGAGAAGATGAGGAAGAGGAAGGTGACTGTTTCAATAAAGGGAGGGGGGTGATTTTTTATTTTTTATTTTATTTTATTAAATTTCTATACCGCCCTTCTCCCGAAGGACTCAGGGCGGTGAACAGCCACAAGATAAAACACATAAATACAAAAATTTAAAATAAAATAAAAACGAATTAAATAATTTGGCTGAATTTAAAATACCCCATAATTTAAAAACAAATTAAAATTTACATTTTAAAAAAGGGGAGAAGATTTAGGCCAGGCCAGCTTGATGAAATAAAAAAGTCTTAAGCGCACGACGGAAGGTGCGCAGATCCGGGATCCTCCGTATCTCCGTGGGGAGCTCGTTCCAGATCGTAGGTGCCCCCACAGAGAAGGCTCTCCCCCTAGGGGCCGCCAGTCAACATTGTTTGGCCGACGGCACCCGGAGGAGCCCCTCCCTATGGGAGCATACTGGCCGGTGGGAGGCTAGTGGTGGTAGCAGGCAGTCTCGTAGATAACCAGGTCCTAAGCCATGGAGTGATGAGGGCATTATGACATAATCACACAAATACTGTGATTTTTATCCACTACAATGCACAAAATATTATACTTCAGGGAACATAAGATAAGATAGATTAAATAAAATTTAAAGGCAACATAATTTAAGGTTTCTGGGCTCATGTTATATGTATGTCTTATGAAAAGCAAGATGGAAAAATGATCTCATGAGAATGAAGATATATAAACATTTAATATCTATTTGTTGAGACTTTAACCTGGAAAATAACTTATATCACAGTTATTAAAGGTGTTAGTAATAATAAGAAACACAGTCATCTTGTAAGCAGTACTCAAAGTGATGTATACATTAGCACAAACTCTTTTCAATCAACAGAATCACTGACACAATTTTTCTTCCCCTATTTATACTGTTGCAATAGTTAGAGGTCATGAATTTTCTAGCAGCTGAGGCTACGAACACAGAAATCGCTATGTCTTAAAGACTCTTGTTTTGAATTAATTTTAGATTTTGGATTCGGATTTCTGAATTTCAAAGAACAAACCTTGCTACATATCTTCTCCTCAAGCATTACCACCTGCTCTATCATGCTAGCACACTGCTTCTGAGTCTACATGTTCAACTCTAAGAGATTGCTATCACCTTGCCCAGGCTACCATGATGCAAGAATGTATTGTGTGGTATGGCCCGCTTAAATATAATAGCATATATTAGAAAACAGCTAATAAAACCCAAGAAAGCCTGATAAACTTAAGGAAGCATGGATGTTTCCTGGCCTGTATTGGAAATGTTTAGAAACTTTTAATAGAAATATGGGACTAGGTTTAGATGCAGCAGAAGACAGACATTTTTCTATTTTCCTGATAAAGTAGCTAGATGTACAGTTTGTAACCTTATTTTTAGCTATAAAACATTTTTATATATAAAAAATCAGGAACAAGCAGAAACATAATTTATGCATATAGTAATTCTATATGCTAATTGCATATTCATATAAATGCATATTACATACAATAATTGATAGTAAATGTTTGGCACTCCTGGTAAGAATTTAAGATTAAATGTTGGAAGGAGCAGTTATGTTCATCCACTGGGATCATAGCATAGCTAGGTATCTTGGCTCTAGATCTTTCTCCAGTTCCACCATTCACTGATATTGTTACAGTTTTGTTGACTTGTTTATAGTTTATTTATTCCAACTTTTGGTACAATATCTGAGGCAGCACTGCTAAGGCCATATCTCACTTAAAAGAATTTTAAAGCACTGAGGCCTATAGAAAATGTTTGATTTTTAGGTGAAAAGCATATTACATTGTGTATGACTGCAAAAATTGTATAATATACAGAGCATGTTCCTTGTTTGCTTCCTGGATCCTCCAATTAAATATTTATCACCTGAATGGAGTTTCACACTGATTCTAATTAGGTGCACAGAAAGGGCACAGTGGACAAATTATATAGCCCCTTGTAATAGATAAAGTGAGCAAATGTTAATTGCTTATACTATATAACAAAATATTTTTTTTATCGTGGCAGTGTTATATAAAGTACAAATAGTATCTTACTGATTTAATTGGAAGAGCGAGAAAGGTGAAAGGTAATGATAAAATGCAAACTACATTAACATTGTCATATAAATTTAATGCATTGCCTGTGTAAAACAATATAGTTGCTTTTCAATGGTATTTTGGTATACTTCATGAAATTGCCAATTATTGTTGATCAGATATTGTGACATGTACTTTTCAATTAGCTCCTGTGAATTTGCTATTTAGAAGAAAGCAGGAAGTACCTACTTATGTCCTGTCAGAGGAGTACAGCATAACAGTTGATGCAATCCTCCAACATATGAATTTTAGTGGGTTTTTTTTAACACACTCACTAAATTAAGCCTAAAGCTTAAATATTCTCAAATGATTATAAGTGATTTTTTCAATAAGGGTTTGAAATATTTTGACTACCTTCAAAAAGAGAATTTAATATTCTAAGCATTTGTTTAATACTACAAAAGAAATTTTGTCTAGAATCTGATATATACCTAATAGAAGGATTGTTGGCATTTCTTGAGTGAGATTGATTTTCTTGGGTATTGTAAGGCTGTAGAGCTTAATTATACGAGAGCATTTTGCTCTCATCAGTTTCCATTCATTTTCTCTCTTCAAGATATTATTACTTGATGCACTAAGATAAAATTACTTTTTTCAGACAGAATGGCTTTATGACTATGGAATTTTTTTTTTTTTTTAAAAAAGCTTCTGACTTTTAAGATTCTGGCATGTGTTGTCTCATATCTGTCATTCATCTCTATGAGAATTAAATCTTTACCGTACTATTTCATCAGCAGATGAGCATTCTTAAATTTCTTTTGAATGGAACAAATTTTATATTATGAAATGTTTTGTTATATTCAGTGGGACAAAGTGTTTGATTTAGCTGGATTGTAACTTAATTTTAAACTAAGAGAGCAAAGTCATCTGAAAATAGCCCATCAGTCATTAAAAGCAGTGCTCTATCTTGCTATGTAAGGAATATAAGGAAACTCTTAAAAGCAAATAAAAGAAAACATTATACAAAAAAGGATGTGCACGTCAGAACTCCAACAGCAACAAGGGTTTCCCAACCTGTTGTACTTTATGTTTTTGTCCTAAACGTATCAGATAGTACATAGGATTGTTATACTAGACTGAGTATACATTTTATGCAAATCAAATGGTTGCAGTAATTTTTGTACACATGCATATCATACATGTAAATCAATAACAAATATTTTACATTTTATCATTTAAAACTGTACACAGAAATTATTTTTACCATGGAAACAGCTTTCTAGTGATATGAGTTATTGGTATTTTCAGTAAATATAAATGGGAATTCTTTGTAATGGTTAATTCTGCTGAAAGTTGTAGTATGTAGATTTTCAATGGTATTTTAAGGATTGAGGTAAAAATACACAAATTAGCCTTCCTCCATCTAATTAATAATAGGATTGTAATTTCTTACCATACTAAGAAACACATTAATTTTCTTGAAAGTGGAAAAAGGCCATTTACAAAAAACATGGAAAATACTCTTCAAAATAAGTATTAGAGAGTAAATATTAAATAACAGACGGTATCCTTATAGATTGACATTTCTTTCATATTTTTATCTCATAGCGTATCATCATAAACAGAAGCTGCACTTCAGATTTTTAAAAATTATTTTTTAGGATAAAAGAGGTAAATTTTTCCTGATAGTTTGATGAAAATTATTGTAGTAGTAGCAGCAAAGAAAGTGTATATTCATCTTTTGGATCGCATTCCATATAGTATACATAAAAATGTATAAAAGGGGGGATTCTGCAAACATCCATAAAACAGTGAGTTTGCTGGCATATAAATCCTAATAAGCCCAATCATTTATTTGTGAGCGGTATTAAGGAATGGATTAATTCCATTCTTTTCTTTCGTTTGTCTTATAACATGTCAAAGAGTAATTGACTGGGTGGAGCTAAAAGAAGTCATGGGTGGAGTCAGAACCCTCAAACAAGTAAGGATTCCCTTTTATGGCATATCTATTTTTTTCTCTCTCTCCCACTCCCCCCCCCCCATTTCTCACATTCTTTTCTCTTTCTGCCCATCTTTTCTTTCTCGTCCAAGCAACCAATGGCAGGGAATGTACAAGTACTTATTTCCAGAGATCTGAACTGATGTCTTGCAGAAAGCTGTTCTATTTACTTCATATGCCCTAACATGGAGTTGAGCAATCCTTTTCAAGTTGAGGATATATTGCACTTGGATGGTAAGGCAATGGGCAGTTATAAAATGCAGTTGAGATAGAAAGAAATCTATTTTTAATCTTAACTTTAATGATAATTAAAGTAGATAATTTTTCAAAGGATGAGTTTATCCTGAATATTCCAAAGGACAGTCAAATGGTTCCACCAAATTTTGGTGACGTATTATGTCACTGAACTTCATTATTGACTGAGGAAGGAAGTCAAATAATTGCATCAAGTTATGACAGCTGCATTGCCCATCCAGATGTACCTGGTGAGACACCTGCATCAGAACTTTTAAAAAAAATACAATATAGATCAGATGAAGAATATGTAGCCATAGAGATGTTTCTTAACAGTGGTTCTCAGCATCTTTTATTGCTAACCATGCTGACTAATATTACAATAGAGAAGATTATAGCACAGGTATTGGTTCCTCATTCTAGCTATACAATATATCAATAACCATTTTTGCAATGGCCATGTAAGAGTCTCCTCTCTTTTTAATTCACCAGGTATTTGCAACATGACAAAATTGTAGGTATATAATAAAGAAATACATGAGCAGGGAAACTATTCTGTAGTGTTTTAAAATAAATTGGGAAATAGTTCTATTTATTGCTGATTGTTAAAAGAACTACTGTACAATAATACATTAAAGACACCGTACACTTTCTACAATCTAATGAAAAGAAATAAAGAAATTCAAGCATGCTATGATGCCTTGACCAGAATTTGATCGAACTACAATTTTTTTATAATATTCATAGATCCCTATAGATATAAATTATTGGCATGTAAATGAAATCCAATTATTTAAAGAAGACAACAGTCCAATATCTGACAAATAAAAGAGAAAAAATGCCAACATATTAATGTATAACTTTATGACATTCTTAACTGTACCTATCACAATAACTTAACCTACTTAAATCTTCTGTCTTCATCCTTTCTCCAATTTGAGTAGTTGAGATGTTACCAAAACATCTCCAGACAGTGGAGACAATGTGTACAAATTGATGCTTGCTGGTAGCCAGTCCCAGACTAATACTTAGCACTTAAACTAACATACCACATAATATTAGAGCATAGAATTTAGAAACCAATTTAAGTTGCTTTCACTTGGATAAGGCTGAAGGTATATATGATGGTGCACAGAAATTGCATAGTTACTGCAGTATAATACAGCTATGACACAAAATGCCACCAAACTGCAAGGCTGGTAATTATAAAGAACCAAGACATTGATGCTTGAGTACCCAGATTTCTGTCCCCTTTATAAATGGAAAATGTTTTTATTGTGGTTGTGGATGTGGTGTCCGTCTTTTCCATTATTAGTATGGTTTCGTTTCTGTCTCCTGATTTCACATTAAAAACATCTGAAAAGAAACACAAAGAAAGCAAATGTTACGTATTTGGCAAACCATGTCAATTAAAAAAAATGATGATTTTTATGATTCCAATAGTTTCACTTCTGAAAATAAGACCTGCAGTATAATCTGCTGTTTAGGTACTCTCAATAATTTAATTCAATTTATAAGTAGGCTCAAGTCTAAGATTGTTAGTAATTTAATAGTAAATTTGATAACGTCTTTCTGTTATGAAAGAAATTGGAGTGTGAAATCTGTACATAAATTGTAGAAAAAACCCCACACTATCTGTCCTGTGAATCAGAAAAAATAAAATAGAATCCACCCTATATTTTATGTCTGATAGATTAGTTTTTGAAGAATACATATCAATAGTTTAATCATTGGCCTAATAATATAATTAGCTAAAATTAATGGAACAGTCACGTTGGCATTTGAGTTTGTAACATATTTGTAATAATGATTTGTAACATTTCAGTAATAATGGGGTTTGATTTCACTGAACTCCAATGCAACTGATTGCAGGGCATTTTTACTCAAAAGAATAAAATCAAATAAATGTTATCTATTTTTTAAAAATCCTCCATTTTTTTCCTTATTGTTACCCTTATTGTTCCTTATTGGTCTTTTAAACTCCCTAAATCATCAAATTGGGTGTTCCCAACTATTTTTGTGACATCATGTCATCACCATAGACCATACGTTATTGTTAATATTGTTATTCTTTCAGTGTTGCATTTAGTAACAAATAGCTCTTTAGCTGATTATTTAACATTAAGATGATAAATAATAATATGAAAATTAATTTTATGTAAGCTAAATTAAAGTAAACATATTTTCTATCAAAGCTTGCCAATCTCTTTTCAATCAAAGCCACTTTGGAAATATGACTTTAGCAAGCCATTCATCCCTTTGCCTGAGACAAGTCTTCACATCACTAACTATTGCTTGATATGTTATTAAATAAGGTTTCTATGTATCATGAGAAATTGCCAGAGGTTGGAAGCCCTTTGTCCCACGATAGTCTTAGAGTGAAAGCTCCTCAGTGCGGGAAACATTCAGAAATCATAAAAATATATTAATTCAATGTTCATTCATTGAATTAGAAAGAGGACTTAAAAGGAGTGAACACAAAAAGCAAAATGGGAAGAGAAAATAAAAGAAGGAATCTAAGAACAGAAGAAAAAGTAAAGGAAAAAAGAGAAGAGTATAAAAAAGTTTGACCGATGGAAAAGAGGTGAGCAGAAGACAAACTGGACAGTAGAAAGCAAGTCATATTGCTCAGAATATCAAAATAGGGCAAGGGCATGAAAATAAATGAAAATGGCAGTTTTGGAGATGATTGGATGATAAAGAAGGCAGGAATGGGATGGGAACCAGATTCTGTTCTTTTGCCTTGAGAGATGCTGAATTCCTAAAACAACAACAAAAATATAAGGTAGCAGAAATATAGAAAACATCAGTAGAATTAAAGCAGAGGTCTCATTGAACAAATAGATTTTATGTTTATGTTAATATTTAACCTATCCTCTCTGAGTTAGTTGCATAAGCTAATTTGTGTAACTGTGTGGCACCATAATAATAGACTAGCAGCAGATCTGAGCCCTCTAGCAGATACATAAGGGAGAAAGTATTCCAACAAGTATTCATATCTTAAACTATGGCTGGCTTTCTATGTCATGACAAACATTGTGAATCTGATTGCTTGATATGAAAGAAACCAATAGAATTATATGAATATAAACTCCTGCTAGATTGTGCAATTTCCCAGTCCAGCATTTTCTCATTAGCGAAACTCAAAGTGAGATGATCTGGACCACATCACTAAATTCCACTGTTGAGATTACTAGTGTGTGAATTACTGCTACCACTGCAACTCCTGATTGCAGTAAAATTGAGTAAGTCAGGAAAGTTTAAAATGTTAAAATGCTAAACAGTTAATTGCAGGATGGAAGCAAGAACTAAAGGTTTCCCCCTATGAGACATTGTCTTGCTTGGGGAGAAGGATGGGTATGGGTATAAGGCTGAAAGCAGACAAAAAAAACTAGAACTTTCCCCCATGAGGAGGTGACCCATTGAATTCAGTTAAGGTGAATCATGGTCTGGAAAGCAAACAGAGAAAAAAGCAAAGAGAAATAATTTGCATGTCTAGCTCAGAAAGAGGGAGAGAGAATATTGCATGCAAAGACAGAGGGAATTCAGTGTTTCCCACCATTTCTTTCCAGTATAAGAATGCACTCTTGCTCTTTGTGTACCATTGTTCTGTCACCTCTTCCTATTTCAGGGGAAATGGGGAAGTTTTGAGGTAGAGTACATTCTAGACATTCAGAAAGTTAAATATTAGTTTCATTTGAAAGACCATCTGGATACATAATGCTCTTAGGGATGCTTCAAGGAAATACACATATCCTTCTCCTTTGATCATTCCATTTGCATTTTCCTTGCAAACCAAAACTTTTGAACCAGCTGTTCAATGGAGTTTTAGCACTTGTCAGTATTTTGGATGCTGTGAAGGGGAGATAGGACAAAAGGAAATTATATGAGTGAAGAGAGAGACTATATCACACAAAAAGGAGAACAGTTTTGAACAGATGGAGATTGCTGCTGAATGAGGAAGGAAGGAAGGAAGGAAAGAAAGAAAAAAAAAAGAAAAAACACAACCCTCACTGCATTTAGACATGGTGTACAATTCAGAAATAGTGTAAATCAGCTTAAAGGAAAGAAATAGAGATGAAGGAAAGGAAATAAACTGGAAGCAAGAGAGGAATAATTCAGTACTTCGGGGGTGGGGGAGGATTTTGTAAGAAATAAGCGGAGAACCAGAGATCGATAATTGCATAAACACTCAACCACTTAGTTTCAAGACCACAGTTAATTACAGTAGTTTATAGGAAGAGGATTGAGGGAAAAAACTACAGGTTTATGCCATTTTGGGCAAAATCACTTGCACTCTGATACTGGCAATGGACAATCGACTGGGCAATATTCAGAGTTTCTCTGAGCTTTTTCATTTATTTTATTTACTTTATTTGGTAAGACAATTGGCTTCTGGGTTGTATACATAATAACTATGTAAGAGAACCAGATTGTATCATCCCTGTTTTGTTTTTTTTTTAAACTATAATGAAGTTCCAGGCATAATTCCTTGCCCTGATAATGGACTTTATTCAAAAGGAAAAAATAGAGGGAATAAATATGTATGGGTGCAAATAATACTAAAAAAAGATGTAATTATGATGTAATTAAGTAATTATCATAAATTACTTAAATGGGCCCAGGTCATGTGAAATTAAATTTTCCAATTGTACCAACCTTCCTGATTCCTTGGGGACATAGCTGGCAGGTTGCTGTGTAATATAGGGCTACAAAACTCAAGATTTTTCTGATTTATTATTTTTTTTTCCTGTCATCTATTGTGGATTTTGGCAGTCCAGGCCTGATAGCCCTATTTTAATAGATTTTTTAACATTCTAAAATATTATTGTGTGAATAATATAAACAGCTTTGTTATTATCCAAAGTATTTGTATATCATTTCTCATTATAATAAACATTATAATGTTTAATTTCTGAGTCAGCAAGTCATGAAATCTTTTAGTTGTCACTCCCATTTCTATTGTTATCTACAACAGACAGCATCTAGAGACCACCAAATTCTCCCTGGACCATTTCAGCAGTCCTCCCTACCTCACAGATCTGTGCTAGCTATAGCCATCTTTTATGACAGTTTATATTTTGATTGCATAAACATTAGCACTTACACCAGAAACTTGAAAACAGAGGAAAGGTTTAAAAATAAATCATGGGAATAGGTATTTTTCTGAAAGAACCTGGCCTTTCTTTCCATCACTGTCATGCTGTCAGCTGTGGCAAAGGCACTATTTCTCCATCCTTTTATATCATCCTAGCCTGCTGACTTCAGCTCTCTAGAGCCTGCAGATTAAATAAAGACTTCACAAAGTTAAATCTATTCTTCTCTTTCACTTGACCATATCCAGGGTTATAACTTAATTTGCTGCTCTAAATTGGCTAGGATGGGAACTATTAATTCATTTATTCTTCTGGTATTGACTTAAGCAAACATTTAAAGTAAAACTGAATTCTATCTGAAAGAAGAGAGAAGAAAATGTAGGCGTGTTGGCATTTTAACAGCTTTTCCTTCAGTACTACAATGCTGCTTAATGCACTATATAACAGCATTAAATAATACATCAGGAAAATCTGCTTTTAACCTTCCTAGGGAAAGCCTCCCAATGTTAGTTTTCTCTTTCGCTGTAGTTTCACAGCAATTTCTTTTATGGCCTGCTGGCAATTAAAAGATAGGTTAGATGTGCCAACAGGGCATTTTGTAAATCTCTGTTTAAAAATTAAATACATGTTGTTTGATAAAGTACTGTTATTGTATAAAGCTATCTTTTCATTGGTAAAACCTAAGCTTAGCAGGATTGCAATGTTTTACTTATCTTCCCTGGGAATTATTCCCAAGACACATACATAGACACAAAGAGACAGAAAAGTGCAAAACAGCCTCCTCTTAAATATCAAACCTATTAGGAACAAATACCTGAGAGAATGTAATAGTGGTTCTCAGATGCTCCCTAGGCTATAGTTATAAATAACTTGAAATGCAATCATGAGCTATAATGCTGCCCCAATGGAAAGCATGAATTTAGTAGGACTCTGAAAACAAATGGAGGCAACTCTCTCCAACAGAAGAAGAAGAAAACTAGGCGGATTTTACAAGGAGTGAATCGATTTTCAGTTCAGTTCACTTTTGCATCTGTTTTTATCCATATGCTAATTCTATTTCTATATTAAACTAATAATTCAAGCAGATCTTGTCCAAATAGGATTTCAATGTGCATTTTAATGCTTACTTTTTGTCAAAGTAAATATTTAAAACTCTGTGTTCTTTCCAAGTACTATTTAAGGCAGGCCAGTGAAAGGTAGTCTCAGTGATGAAATGTTGCATGCTGCAGTAGTGATGTGGTATCACAATAGATGCTGCAC